ACTAGCCAAGATACCTCATAGTTTCAGCAGAGATTCTTAAGGAAGACATTGCTTGGGTCTCTCTAGTGGCACAGAGCTCCCCCTATGGAGAGCCTTCCTTCTTGGAAGAATCAGAGGAAGCCTCTGGAAGTGAAGGTGAATCATCCTTTTCTCTGACAGTTGGTGTAGACTACTGGGGTAGCCTGCCCACCCCAATGAAACTTGACCCATAAGTTTAAGTTGGTTTGGTTTCTCAAATGACTCAGACATTTGACTAATTTGTATCTTCAACTGGACCATGTCAATGCAGCATAAGAGTATAGATGAAGCTTCTCTGCTCCCATGTAGTACACAAAGATCCTAATGCTCACATCTAATATTGAAATACAGTTCATTAGCAACTAATGTTTTTAATCAGCTAACTCCCGGAAATGGTTGTCTTTGGTTATAACCTCTAGAGAGAAAGGTGATTGCTACCTGGCTTCTCTGGTAAAGATGTGGTTTTATCTTTAGGGATAGAGGCTTCAGCTCATCTTGGAAACTAGAAGAACTACAGGTCTTTAACTCTTGTGGAGAGTTCAATGCCATCATCACCTCCTCTTTACTTGGCCTGGGGCTAGAGAGACTTCCCACACTCATTATGACTCTGGGGTTCTAATCTGGAGTCCCCGGGTCAGGTACAACACTCCTTATTCCATATTCACCACTCGTTCTTGGGTCATTCTCTCCCCAGTCAGACTGTAAGGTTTTCAAATGCCAAGATCCTGATTTGTTCTCTTTGCTCCCTTTCATATATGGTGGGTGTTTGTAAGATTATTAAAGAATTAAACACCAAAGGGAAATGATATTAGAGTGCCATTTTGTTGAGTTAATGCTGATGTTCCTGAACTTCTCACAGAGCTATTGTCTGTGAATAACAGATTTGTCAAAAACACAAGAATAGCCTGTACCAAAACCAGAGTAGATTGTTCTCCCTTTTGAAATGGAAAAGATTAGGACAAGGAGATTCATTCTGTTGAGCATCTACTATGTGCCAGGTAAATTACTAGGAGCTTTAAATATGTATTTTCACTGAATCTTTATAACAGTAATAGGGATATACGATTGGAAATAAGGATTAGACTGAAAATAGAGACAGAAATACTAGATAAAATGAATTTGTGCTTCAGACTCCAGAACGTAATTATTGTTTATTTGGATGAGCCTGATATAAGAGGGAGCACATCACATAGGGTGGTCCTGATATGCACAGACATCACATCACAGGCATGACGTCCACCCTTGCAAAAAGAGAGCCATGGCCACCTCTTATAAAGATAAAAAATTGCATGAGGTTGCTGAAAGTATCTAGGATCATACCCTGATTATTCATGGTCTAAAGGACATTTTCTTTCTATTAGGCCTTTGCCTCCTTATTTCTTAATGTAGAAGGAGAGCATTAGATTGGAAAAGGATAATGTGCACATTTTCTCAGTTATATTGAATAGTGACCAAACCTTCTAAGAAGTGAGAAAAAGACAGGAATTCATTTTCTGGGAGCTGAAGAATATAATACCATGCATTCAACATGAAATGCCAGGCAACATCAGTTCTTTCCTTTGCTTCCCTAGATACATATTTTTCAAAGACTAGCAATTCTGAAAATAGGTTACAGTGATGAATACTGTACTGACTTAAAAAAATTCTCAGACACACTACCGGCCAGTTATAACTGGTGGCTTTTAATGCTGTGCATACTTTTACATAGATGCAATGTTTTGTGCTGAATGCAATATGTCTATGTCACTATAAGGCAACTAAACAGAAAGAATGAGGGCTGTCTTTGCAATTATATACTATCAGGCACTATATCCGCATATAGTGACTCAGACACTTATTCTGTGATCTCAGGCAAAGTACTTACCTCTGTAAAATGAGGAAATGTCAACTATTCTGTAGGATAGCTAGGAAGATGAAATGATACAGCATATGTTAAATGACAAGTGCAGAGCTTGGAGAGGTAATTCATGCATAATTTTTGCCTTTCATGTTGAGGATTTTGACTGGATTAATAAGTTCATTCTGTTCAAATGTAGACTGATGTGGTCTCAGGTTGGAATGAGAATTGGCAATGGCCGTGCTAACAGGTACGAGGTAATATCTCAATGTACTTTTGAATTGCATTTCCCCAAAGATGCAGAGAAAAGGAACCCTTATATGTTGTTGGTGGGAACATAAACTGATATGGTCATTATGGAAAGCAGTATGGAGTTTCCTCAAAAAATTAAAAATAGAATTACCATATGATCCAGCCATGCCACTTCTAGGCATATATCCAAGGGAAATGAAGTCAGCACCTTGGAGAATCTGCACTCCTAAGTTCATTGCAGCATTACTTACAATAGCCAAGATTTGAAAATAACCTAAGTGTCCATTGACAGAAAATGGATAAATAAGCTGTTGTGTGTATATTCACAATGTAATACTATTCAGCCTTCAAAAAGAAGGAAGTCCTGCCATTTATGACAACATAGATGAACCGGAAACATTAGGTTAAGTGAAATAAGTTAGACACAGAAAGACAAATGTCGCCTATGTGGGGAATGTAAAAAAGTAGAACTCACAGAAACAGTAAAGCAGCGATTATCAGGGATCGAGGAGTGATACTGGCCAAAGGGTACAAACTTTCAGTTCTAAGATAAATTCTGGAGACCTAATGTACAGCATGGTGACTACAGTTAATAATAATGTTTTGAATACTTGAAATTTACTTAGAGAGTAGCTCTGGAGTATTCTCATCATACATGCAAAAAATGCTAACTATGTGAGGTGATAGATATCTTAATTAGCTCAATTGTGGAAATCATTTCACAATGTGTGTGTATATACATATATATATATAAACATCACATTGTACACCTCAAATATGCACACTTTTTATTTGCTAATTATACCTTAGTAAAGCTAAATCAAGAAAAAAATGCCAAAGAGATCCGAACAAAAAGCGGAGGGATGAATATCTCACGATGACGTGGGAGAAAAGCAATGTGCCTGGATGTTGCTGCCTTCTATAAACGGAATCAATTTAATAAGCAACTTGAGTTAAAGGAAAAATTGTGTTCACCTTTTTTTTTCCTGAGAATAAAATCAAGGAGAATCTGTTTTAAAGGAAGTAATAAAAGGATGTCTAGGTGGAAATAGAAAAGAGATTTACAAAAAAGACAAAAATGTAGGGAAATGTGAATTTGTGTTTGAGTCTCTGGAATGAGACACTTGTTCATTCGCAGAGGCCTGAGGCTGCAGGGAGTATGTTGTCTGTGTCTGACATGCCCAGACCTCACATTGCAGGTGTGACTCCAATCCTTGCCCACTCATATCCAGAATTTCATAGCCATGTGCCTTCACAAGGCTTACGCTTCCTTCTCTGCATTCTTGAGGACATCTGCATGAAAGCACAGACTGCCTCCTGCAGCTTTCTCACCACCTGAAGCCACAGTATAGCGGTAGCCATAGCAACACCTTCGGTATTGCTAACCTGGGGTTACAAACTCTAAGGTAGGAAACGGGAGGCAGGCACATATTGAACAAAAAAAAAATTAAGGAAAAAATGACTTTAAAAGTAACTTTCTCTCAACGCCAGATGCCACAAGATTATAAATCAGCAGCAAGGGAGAAGAGATGCGGGAACAGTACTTATCAAGTATCTCCTGTGCTTCAGCACCAGGAGTTTGCCTAGATATGAGTAGTAGTTCTGAAAATAATCCAGCAAAGAAGGTATACTTAACAACCCTCATCACTTATGCATGAATAAAGGTAACAAGTTGTTCGATAACTTACTCAGGTGTACAAGTCTGGTCAGTGGTGAAGTAGGAATTTGTACCTGCTCTATCAGATTGTCTGCACCATAAAGGTTTGGTTTCCAGATCATGGACACTTTTCTGATGGCATTTTGTTTCATTAACTGCTATTCCTCTATTCCGCAGTGTAGTCCTCCTTCACTGAGCCTTTTGTGTGTGCCTGCTTGCTTCCTTCTGAAGAGTCTTATCTGGAAAACTGGCTTCTTGGTCATTTTGCCTCAATGCCCTGGAGGAAATCCAAGGCCCTCACTTTGTCCTGTGATGAATATCTAAAGACATCTTCATCCAACAAGCACATCTAAAAAAATTCAACTCATCCCTTATATATGTGGAAAAGAAATGGGCATTCAGATGTTAAAACACAAGTTAAAAGTTAAGAGGTCAGATTTAAAATTATTGAATCCTGGCTGAAGCTTGGGAAGAGTTGAATGCATTACACGGAAGTGAAAGATCAAAAGACACAAAAACATGGGGATGTGCAGTGACCTTATCTCTTCTTCCTGTTTCTCATCAAAATAGTGAATGTCCATACTCAGAAACCTCTCAAATGAAATTCTGTTCAAGGTGGGACTTTAATCTTTCTCTTTTTGTTATTCTATATTTCCTTAGGTGTTTATGATCATGATACACTATCATTATAATTGTAGAAAAAAGTTATATTTTAAAAGCTCAAAATATTAAATTTTTAATAAAATAGGGTACACATATGCATGTACATGCATACATACACATACAGAAAAATGCTTAGCAAACCAGGCCCAAGATTGGTTATAGTTAATAAATAGGCAACAGAAAGGTCTTGGCTTGGCTTGCTTTTTTTTTTTTTTTTTTTTTTTTTTTAGATAAAGTCTCCTTCTATTGCCCAGCCTGGAGTGCAGTGGCACAATCTTGGCTCACTGCAACCTCCACCTCTTGGGTTCAAGCAGTTCTCCTGCCTCAGCCTCCCAAGCAGGTGGGACTACAGGCACATGGCACCTTGCCTGGTTATTTTTTTTTTTTTTTTGTATTTTTAGTAGAGATGGGGTTTCACCATATTGGCCAGGCTGGTCTCAAACTCTTTGGCCTTATGATCTGCCTGCCTCGGCCTCCCAAATTGCTGGGATTACAGGCGTGAGTCACCACTCCACAACTGGCATTTTTGCTTAGTTACCCCTGAGATCTTTATCAACATTGGACAGGCCGATATGATTTCAATGTGATTTATTTTCAAGACCTGTAGAGAGGAAGGATAACTCTGGAACTTGGCATATTTAAAATTTTCTTCATCCATGGGACCCTCTGTGGGGCAGCTGAGATTTCTCCATTCATCACTTCATAACACCTGTTACTCTGCAGAACAAAGCTTGGGACTGATGGTACTTTCTGCTTCTAGGGCCCTTGGTAGCTCCAATCAGAACGTCATTTGCAATATGCAGGAGACAATATGGAGTTCTAGCTGAGGAAGAATAAAACACATTCAATGTGCACTGCGTCCATTTACCATGTCTGTGCTTCTCCGTGCTCTAAAATCAAACTGCCAAAATACTAACCACCGCTTTCCCCATCCTTGTGAAACGTGGGACAGTGGCACTGATGCTACTTTCCTATGCTTTGGCTTTTTTGTTTAAGGAAAGTTGTGAAACAACCAACATTGAAAGCAGTTAATCTCTCATGAGAAGCAATGAGAAAATACACTCAGTTATTTTCAGTTCCCCTTAGGGTCAGTTCAGTAAACACAGTTTACTGAAAAAAGTAAAGTAAACACAGTTCTGTGAATTTCTCCCCATTTTAGAGTCTGTGGAATCAAGGAATACTAAGGAAGTGTCTGGAGGAAACTATTCCAAGGTCAGATACCCACAGCTGGAGACCAGTTCCAGTGGTAAGATAGGAAGCGGGAAAGATGGGGTACATGTTGGAAATCAGAGGACAACCCAGAGCATGGACCAATCTCCCATAGTGGGGACTTTGGGGACAGCCCACACAGAACAACTGATGTGCACAGTAATGGCAGGTTCCACAAACCTTCTGCAATCCCTTTGTTCTCCAGGCAGAAGAACGTAGGAACAGCCAGACATGTTGTCTCCCTCAAAAATCTTGTGCTGTTATCAACTTTATGTCATCTCAGCTTCTAATTAACTCTTTTAGCTGGCTCCATGAAAGTGGATCTGGGGCCTTTAAATATTTTTTCTCTACTAGCAAACGCAATGCTAAATTTTGGTAGTAGAGAGTGCTTGAGAGACATTTCAGAAGAAAGGAAAGAGTTTTGCTTCCTGCTTCCAGTGTGCTTCTTGTGCAGACTCCTGCTGAGTCATGCGGCTTCTCCAGGTTGAGCTCCTGTTGCACACAAAACTTCCCCAGCAGGGCCTCTCCTTTCTCTGGCGCCTGGGTCCCGCAGTGCACAGCAGCCTGCAACTCCTGGTGACCAGCAGCTTCCTCCGACAATCTCCTCAAGTGGTTTTGTAGCAGAGTGCTTCTGATGAGACATTTCCCAGTGAACGGCTTTCTGGCAACTTCTGTAATTGCAGCAAGTCCTTTAGGTGTGCCAACAAAGTTATCTTGCTGTCCTTCAGTGAACTATGGCCATGACTCCCCAACAAAAGAAGCAATAAGATACGCTAATTCTTTGCCATCTCTGCTTTTAAGATAAAAACGAGGCGCTTGAGTTGTTTCATTTTTTTAATTCAAAATTTAAATGAATGGAAATATATTAAAAATTAACTTCGTCTTTCCATCTTGGAATCAAGACAGGCTATTTCCTTTTTGTGGGAAAAGTAGATGTGTGTAAAAGAACAGAATTGCAGATTATCCGAGCTAAAAGGAAGCTTTGAAATCATTTATTCCAGTGACTTCATTTTGTAATGAGAAACTGGAATGAAGAGACTGACACAAGGGCACACCATGGAGAAGGTCAAGCCCTCCAGACTCATCACAGTGCTCTTTTGGTGGTTATATAAATCTCCTAGGTGTTTCTAATATCCATCCAGGTTTAGAAACCATAGGCCTAGGTAGAAAAGTGAAACCATATACAAGTGCACAAAAAAGGGGATGTTCACAGGATTCCATGAATCTTATTAACTTTAAGTCTATTGTCAGATTTCTTTGGGCTTAAAAAACAAAATCCGTCTTTCCTGAGTTTCACAAACCAGGAGACACCCACTTGGAATAAAGGTGTAGTCATGGTAATAAATAGCATTCTTGGATAACTACCCTTTCAGCAAAATTACTGAAACTTTGGCCTCCAAATTCCTCCTCCTGTTTGTGAGCTCCCAAGGTGACCCTTAGCTCTGGAGAAGCCATGACACCCTTAGCTATACCAAAGCTCATTGTAGGGCCTGTGATCATTCTTTCTTGGCCTTACCTTTGGCTTCTGTATAGCTTCCTGGTTCAACACACGGTTATTTTTCCAGCAGGTCTTGATTCTACTTTAGTAGTCTCCATGCTGAATTTTCTAGTAAAATTTAAAATGTACATTTGGATTAACATATGGTGGCCAGTATTTTACTAAGCAAATTTAAGATCTTGAGAAAGAAACACTGTTTAATATTATCTTTTCAAAAAAGAAGGGATATTTGAACTCCAGAATATAGAAAGGAGGAGATATTTACATGAAGAACATCTTTATAAATTTAATAAATTTTATTATATAAAAAGTAACTACAATTTTTTTTTCTCATTTTTAGAAAAATCATTACAGATGGACTCTGGTCCAGGAACCAGTGTTTAGAAAGCACTGCTATATACGTTTTTAGGAATTCACAGGAAATTTGGTAGGAAGATTACATAAGTACACCTACACTATAGTGCTCCCTTCTGATGCTCAGCCAGGTGAACTGAGGGCCTCCCACAAGCAAGAGAATTTCATACACTCCTGTCAATATTAAGGATGGTCAGGACTTCTCAATTTGCTATGACATGTTTTAGTTTCATTCTCAGTTGTAAGAAACAAGTCATCTTTTTTTTTTTTTTCCCCAAAAGAGGTTATTGGTTTTAAGGAAACAGGTGGGCGAAAACTAAAATTGACCTGGGAATCAGAAACTCTGTTTATTTCATGGGCCTTTACTCATGATCTTTGTACTAAAAAAAAAGTAAACAAAAAAATGTTAAGCATGAAAATAAAAATAAAATATGTTTACTTGAAATATTTGCTATAGAAAGAGTCCAGGCATCAAATGAACTGGGCTTTCAGAATAAAAAGCACATGGTGATTCTAATAAAAAAGAAAGTTACAAATAGCCTGATCATTGGTAGGAAAACAGAAGTTGTCACTTATAATTATTATATCTTTAAGGATTGTTATGTGTCACATTTCTGATTAGAGAATCAGAAATATATAGGAAAGGGGCTTAGACATTATTTATTTGAGGAGTTAATATTAGATAGGGTGTTCTTGTATTTTGAAATTTATTCCTGAATTCAAAGAATATTTTTTATGATTACACTAAATAATAAACATACTTATTCATATGGAGGAGGTCAAGGTGTCAGTCTTGTATTTTCAGATGTTTGTTGATCTCCCTACATATGAACTAATTCTTTCATCATTTTTTACTTCAAATTTCTTAAAGAAAACTGTGATTAACCACATTCGCTTCTTCATGTCAAGTCAAAAATCATTGTCTAGGCTTTATTTTACTGCTTTTGCATGCAGTGCTCATCTTTGGTTCAAATAGCTGTAAAAAGTGCAGAACATGGGGTATGTATTGAAAGAAAGGCTATCTACGGACTGAAGGACAGGTAGATTCCTTAGAAGTGGGTGTGATGAGAAAAGTAGCTTAAATACCGCAGTCTAGTACAATGACTCAACCTTTGTTTTCAGCCGTTGGTCTAAACTCATTCAGTATTCATGAAATCCATTATACCCTTAAGCAAATAAAAAATCTGTTAATCTACACTGCCAGCAGCCTGCCCTGGCATATCGGGAGTCTCATGGGTGTATCTGTGAAGAAGATGAGCCCAGGAAAGCCTAAGTTAAGTACATACAATAGGACTGAATCACATGTGCTTGACAGATTACATCAGAAAGACTTTTAACTGATCAATTTCCTTAAAGCGATTTTGATTAATCTAGGCTAATCAAGGTAGTGACTGGTAACTGAAGACATAAAGAGACTCAGTAAGATTTTCAAAGAATATGTAAATTGAGATGCATGTGCTAATGTTGTGATGTCTGCTCATTCATGTGTCAGTAGTTGTTGAAAATGTAATTTTATGCTTTTTAAAATTAGGATAGTAATTATTTTATGAGGCATCACAATAAAATCTCTCCCTTGTAAATGCTGAAACTAGTTAACATAACACCCCACCAGTGAAATTTGTGTGAGCTCCTCTTTTAAAATTTTAGAAGTTTGAAGAAGCGAGTACTAAAGCTTTTTATATAGGTATTGAAGAAAGAATAGTGCTGTCATACTACCAATAATATGAAGGTCACGACCCACAGTGTTAACTATATTGAAAAAAAATGGGCTGGGCATGGTAGCTCAAGCCTGTAATCCTAACAGTTTAGGAGGCTGAGGTGGCTAGAGTGCCTCAGCCCAGGAGTTTGAGATCACCCTGGGCAACAGGGCAAACCCCTATCTCTACAAAAAATACAAAAATTAGCTGGGCGTGGTGGCATGTGACTGTGGTCCCAGCTTCTTGGGATGCTAAGGTGAAAGGATCACTTGAAAGGGGAAGGGTGAGCTGCAGTGACCCATGATCGCGCCACTGCACTCCAGGCTGGGCTAGGTGACAGAGCCAGACTCTGTCTCAAAAAAAAAGAAAATGTGGTACAGTCATAAGTAAATAAATATCTAAGATTGATAGCAAAAGAAACTTTAGCATGGATAGTTGTGTAAACTTAGCCAAGACACTTATCCTGAGTTTCCATTTTATAAGCACTGGAAACAGAAAAAACAAACAAAGCTTTTTCAGATTGAACACATTGTATAAAGAATATTTTTACCCTGTCTAAAAGGGGGGAAAATGAACAAAGTACATAAAGAGATTAAGAATGGGAAAATTATTAAATTATGAATTGAATTGGATATAAAGAAATCAAAGAGGAACAAAAACAAAAAGAAAGATGAAAAATAGGGAACTGGTACTTTATATGTATGTGGCTTTTACCAGACACAAAAGGGTGGAGAAGCCCAAGTCCAGGCATCATGGGGCAGATCCAGGCTGCTCTATTCATCAGCTTTTGACCACAACCAAGTTCCACTGGTGCCCCTGAGACATCAGTCATCTCATTTATAAAAATAGTAGATGAGATCATTTGCAGGGTAACTTCCTGATTCATAACTTAGCTTTATATAATTGTAAAAGAAAAGGATTTCATTTTGCTTGTTTTAAACTGCCGGATACCAACTGTGCCTCTGCAGTACTAAGATACAAATAAACCCAAAATGCTTTCATGACATAAATATGCATATGCTCATGGATTGCCTTCAATATCTCATGCAAGCTCATTCATTAATAAAATATCAAAATTGTAAATTCTGTAATTACCCAGAATTTGCTTAACTGAAAAATACATTTGCCATGAAGGCACTGCCTGGACCTAGACATCAGGTGGATTCTGTAGGCAGCCCCTAAGTTCATCCTGACCAAAGCTAGACCCTTGTCCCAGCTGCACGTGGCTTAAGTAGTAAAGCAAGTTCAGTGGAGTCACATGGCTATGCCCCTTACGGCCTAGGGGACTTTTGTGCCATATGGAAGGTCCCCCCTGTTGCTCCTAGTGCCTGGGGCAGGAGAGCAGACTATGCATCAGCAGCAGCGCTGAGACAGCAATTTGGCACTCATAGACAGATCTGGCTCAGCCTCCAGCAAACAACATCTGTCCTGCTGTTCAGTTTTATGGGGGTTACCACCTTCATGTTTAAATATCTAACATGCTCCTTATATAGCAACAAGGCAGAATGGAATGGGAGCTCGTTTAGGGAAAATGACTGGGTTCAAACCTTAGTCATCACTCATGAGCTAGGAGACTACGAACTAATCCCTAGATATCTCCAAACCTCACTCTTCTACTAAGTGGGAGTAATAAGTTTAATTGTTTAATTTTTCTTTCAGAATTCTTATGGTCACAAAAGCTTCTCCTGAGGTTAGAAATAAGCAAAAACTCCAAATCAGCAAAGGAAACAGACTTGAAATACATGCTTATTTCCAAAAGATTTAGACAGAATCAACAATCCAGCCACGGTTGACCCCGTGAACACTAACATGTTTATGCCTTATGGTCCTTTTCTCTCTACACTACCACTTTTTCATTCCAGTGCTTCTTTTAGTGTCCTCAAATCCACATTTACTCATTTATAATTTCTATTGCCTTAAGGCCTGTGTCAGGTATGACTAAGCATTAACTGCAGAAGATGTCCATGACCTACCCAACACCATCATCATGATATAGTAATAGCTGACCTTGACTAGGTCTACTCTGTCTGCCATTGTGCTGAATGTTCATATGGATAGCTTCTTATTTAATCTTATTGTAATTCCCAGGAGCAGTGTTTTATTAATCAAATTTATCCATTTATAGATGAGGAAACTTTCCTACAATCATCAGTGCCTGACAGTTTCCTCAGACCTTTATTCCTCCATTTCCGTTCACTATTATTCTTTGTCTCCATGGTTCCCAGACTCCTATGTGTTTGAGGTCTATCACTTTTTCTTCTTTTCTTTGGGTTGGTTAACATTCACAGTATTCTTTTGGTTCCTTGGCTTTTCTTTCAGGTCTGACTCCATTCTTCTTTTTGCCAGTTTCTAGATTCTTGGATTAAAAAATGATGTATACTGCATCAGAATCATGGAACCTATTGGCAAAGTTTTTGCATTCTGTCAATTGTAGCTTCAACCACATTGCCTAATAAACAATAACTACTGCTTTTTGAAGGGTCAAAGTATATCAGGCAATTTGCTGCGAAGATTTAAAACTGCACCGTTTCATTCAGACATTATCATAGCAATTAAACAGGCTAGCTCCATTAGCAAGGTACTATTATTTTACCGAGGCCCTTAATGCCAACATATCCTGTATATGACAGAACCAGAATCTCAATCAAGATTCATTTGTTGACAACAGCTACTACCTATAACCTTTACAATATATTAACTTTAACCATGCGTATTCTGATTGCTTATTTTATACCATGGTTCCTTGATTTTATTCTAGATCCCATCTGGAATTGAAGCCAGGCACAAAGTTGCTCCTATTTGTTAAAGTTACACTTTGTTCATTTCATACCTTCATACTAATCCTTCCACTTATGCAGATTAAAACCCTAAAAAGGGCAGCTCCAAAAAGGGCCTAGTAACAAGAACAACTATTCCCTAATATTCTACAATATGAATAATGTTCCCCTAAGTTGTGCAGTGGCTCGATGAGGCCAACCTGAGAGCATAAGCAGTGTGTCTGAAGTAACACATCATAACACAGTGCTATCCTAGCAACCTAAGAATAGGGAAAAACTGCATACGAAGCTTTTATTTGAAAAATTCTCAAGATTAGGCAGCTATCTTTCCTCATGGAGTGGAGGAACCATCCATGGTTCACGGCTACCGCTCATGCCGTCATGTTGCCTGATGAATTCTCATTGCCCACTGATTGAGACCCTGGTGTTTCTGTCATGATAGAAGTAAGTGTGATACATAATTTATAAAGTCTTTTAATTTGAGATAAATCCAATGAATTTTGTATTACAATGTTGTCAAAGCCAAAAATTTTACTTTTTGAACTTTTGAAATTTGAATGCTGAAGATTTGATAAAAATTTTACAATTGCCTATTAAAGAAGATCAACAAACCCCAGACATAGAAAATATAAACTAACCTATACCCAAAAACATAATAATTAAAGTGCTTGAAACCAGTGATAAAGATAAAATCTTGAGATAATCTAGAAAAAAAAGACATTTGCACATAGAAGAACAGATATAAGGATTACTGCAGATTTCTTGTAAGAAAAAAATGTAAGCAAGAACACTGTGTAACATTATCTTTAAATTATCTTTATTATCCTTTTTAGCATCATCTTTTAAAAACATCACTTTTTAAACATCATCTTCAAAACATCTTTTAAAAAATGAACATAGAACTTTATACCTGGGGAAGATGACTTTTAAAAACAAAGACGATTATTACACACTTATTAAAATGACTGAAATCCAGAATGCTAACAATGCCAATTTCAGGTCACAATGTGGAGCAATGGATGAGACTTGTTCATTGCTGGTGCAAGTGCAAATATGGTACAACCTCTTTGGAAGCGAGTTTGCCAGCTCTTTTACAAAGCTAAACACAGCCTTGCAATAGGATCCAACATGTAAGTATTTACCCAACTGATATGAACACTTAAATTTACCAAAAAACATCCTTATGGAGATGTTGAATTTTCATAGCCCTAAAAACTGAAAACAAGCAAGAATGGAAACAGCCAAGATGTCCTTCATTAGGTGGATGGTTAAACTGTGACATGCCTACAATATAATAGGATTCTATGACAAATATAAGTAAGTTTTCTAGCCACACAGAGACATAGATGAATCTTATAATCGTATCACTGGCTGGGCATGGTGGCTTCTGCCTGTAATCTCAGCACTTTGGGAGTCTGAGGCAGGAGAATCCCTTGAGGCCAGGAGTTTGAGACCAGCATGAGCAACATAGTGAGACCTCATATTTAAAAAAAAAATTAAAAGTATATTCCTAAGTGAAATAAGCCAGTATGAAAACGCTGTGTACTATATGATTGAATTTTTATGACATTCTGGAAGAAGCATAATTATAGACTTGGCAAATAGCCTGGGGTATGAGGGAAGAGTTGACAGGTGGAACACGGGATTCTAGGAAAGTAAAACTCTTATGTATAATACTGTAATGGTATATACATGATGATACTCATTTGTCAAAACCCATAAATTTTTACAACAAAAATTTAATTTATATTATTAAAATGCTAATTTGAGAAAATTGTTATTTATAAATAAAATTTTATTTTTCATTTTTGAATGAATTAACAACAAAGAAATGCATGTTGTGTAAAAAACATGATCTCATTCCTTTTTATAGCAGCATAGTATTCCGTGGTGTATATGTACCACATTTTCTTTATCAGGTCTATGAGTGATGCACATTTAGTCTGATTTCATGTCTTTCTTATTGTGAATAGTGCTGCAATGAACACACGTGCATGTATCTTTATAACAGAATGTTTTATATTCCTTTGGGTATATACCCAGTAATGGGATTGCTGGGTCAAATGATATTTCTGCCTCTAGATCTTGAGGAATTACCACACTGTCTTCCACAATGGCTGAATTTATACCCCAATCGGCAGTACAAAAGCATTCCTCTTTCTCCACAACCTTGCCAGTATCTGTTGTCCTCAGCAAACTAAAACAAGAAAAGGAAACTAAATACTACATGTTTTAACTTATAAGTGGGAGCTAAATGACGAGAACACATGGACACGTGGGTGGAAGGCAACAACATACACTGGGGTGGGAGGAGGGAGAACATTAGGAAGAATAGCTAATGGATGCTGGGCTTAACAGTGATGGGTTGATCTGTGCAGCAAACACATGGCACACGTTTACCTATGCAACAAACCTGCACATTCTGCACATGTACCGCTGAACATGTGGTACATGTTTCCAACGTAAAAATTGGAAAAAAAAACAGTCCAACAACAACAAGAAAATGTCTTTTGAGAGCTTATCCTAAGAATATCCCTGACCTAAGAAGAGCAGTTACGTCAAGCGCCACATCAGAATTTGATTTGGCATGCAGCGTTTTCTTTTTAAGAGCTTATTACAAGCTTATCAGTTAACTTTAAGTTCAACAAAAGGAAGACGATTCTGGGTGGGTCTGGCCTAATTACGTGAGTCATTTCTTCTGTTTTCACCACAGCACTTAGCAAACTGATGAATTTAAATGATTCTCAATATGAATAAAATAATGAATGAGCATAATTTATTATTTACTAAGGATGAATTAGGTAAGTCCTTTAAAAGAAGAAGCCTCAGAAAGAAATTCCCATGCTTGAATGAAGGATGAAGTAATTACCCCATTGTGAACAGAGGGTGCCACATGGCAAGAGCCTAAGGGCAGCCTATAGACTTTGAGAGCAGGCCCTGTTGGACAGTTAGCATGAAAATAATGACAGCAGTCATACAGACACAATTAAATTCAGGACTATTTAAGAAGTCTTAAATAGTCACCTTGCTATACATATCATAAGTAATATATAACATTTCTTCTAAGCTCGATCCAGTTCAAAATCTTCTTACTTCCAGGAACTATTATTGATTCTTCCAATTCAAACA